CCACCTCACTGTCTACAATGACTCCCAAATAATAGTCAATCAAGTGAAGGCAGATTTCCAAGCAAGGGAGGAAAGGGTGCAATAGTACCTAGCAATGGTACAGTTCTTATTGAAAAAGTTCCAACACTTTCAAATTCAACATGTGCTAAGAAAGGATAATGTGATAGCACTAGGTTTTTCTTTAATTGCATCAACTAAATTTGTACTTTTTGGAGCCACTTGCCCACCACTGTTTATTACAAACAGTTATCAAATAAAGCTTTGTGGATTCATTAAAAATTGTCGTACTTTTCATTTCACAAAAAGTTTGGAAAAAAAAGTCATTCCTACCAAATTCAGAGCACAGTCGGACACTATCAAGCATCCTCAACACTCTAGCTACCTTCAGTGTTATCGTCCTCCTCGCTGCTACCTAACCCACTCTCATTAGAATCCTCGCCATCATCATCACCACCTACGCCTGACTCTTCATATGGGATAAATCCCGAGAAGTCTATGTTGGGAAAAACCACTGAATCTTTGCTCCTGAACTCCTTGTAGCCATCAATAATAGTGTTCACTGCTCTACCCTACAAGTTATGAATACATTCTTTGCAACCTCCCTCCTCTTCTCCATCTCCTAAGAGTGAGCCTATACTCTGGTAGCCCTCTAATGAGCTACTCGCAGCTTTAACTCAGCTCCAATAGTCCTCTCATAAGCTACCCATAGCTCTACCTCAACTTTGGTATCCTTCTCGTGAGCTACTCAAAACTCTCTCGCAGAAACAGCCTCAGTCCTAGCCTCTAAACTTAGCGGTTCTCTTGCGAGTTGCCAAAAGCTCAACCTCAAGAGGTGTAGCTCTCTTGCAAGCCACCCTCAACTCATCGTCTATAGCCCGCTCTGTCTTCCTCTACCTCATTAGAGTCCTCGATATCTACTCATGCTAGTTGGCCCTCACAAAAAGGCACATAGCAACTACAGACACCTATAACACAAAAAAAGAGTGAAAGGTCAGTGCTATAAGAAGATATAAGGAATAAAATTCCACAGAAAAAAAAAAAAAAAGTATAGATGGTTACTCTAGCTATGCCCTCCAACGTGGTATCAATAATACCCTGGGTACCTTGAGAGTTGACCTCTCTAATCTCCAAGGTTTACAAGAACCTCGAGAAGCGATCCTTGGCAATATTCACATCTTGAAGCATGGACACTAAACAACAACTAGACATAGCAGAACTAGGCAGCACTCCGGTCAGTATGGGAGAAGGAGTCCCAGATGCCCTGGCTGGCAGGGTAGTCAATGAAGGTGCCTGGACAACTAGAATAGGCAAAGGAGTCACTTCTTGGGAAGCTATGGGGGCATCATCAACCCTTGCCCTCTTGGGTGAAGGAGTAGCCTGCGCAGCCCTGACGGAGTAGAGAGCCTCCACCGTCAACCTATCTACTACGGAGCGTAAATAAAGGGATGTATTTTCAGAAATTAAAAATATCATTGAATTCACTATAAAAATAACATAGCTCTCTTCTTAGAAAAGGAGCCGTGAGCATGTGAAGAGGAACAAGGAATAGAAGCACCTCTTGAGGTGAAGCCCCCAGCCTGACCCTCTCCAAACATAAGGATTATACAATCCTTAGGTGGGCCTTCACAGCCTGAAGCCTCCTCTCCTCATCTGCTGACAACTTTGAGAAACCTAAAAAAGAGCTAATTACGTGATATAGATGTCAACTAAATGGAAATAAGAAAGGCAAGATTTGTACCCGTCCTCGTGGGTGCACCCCATCTCATGGGAACTAGAGCACGATCCTCCTTAATAGCCCACTCTCATCCTAGGAATAAGAATTGACCGTTCCAAGCGTGACAGTTGGAGCATAGTCTAGTAATCAATTTTCCTATCCTCGGAGCAAAGCGATACTAACCTAATTGGGAGTGGGGTTCTCTTGTAACATATAAGCGGTAAAAAAATCTTTGCAAGGAGAGGCGCCCTCATTATGCACTCAACACCACAATACAAGAAACACCAATAACATTCTCCAACCATTTGGGGCCAATTGCCCTATCGCGAGTGACAAGTGTGCCAAGACACAACACATAGGCGTGGGCATCGAAATTCCAAAACCTACTTTTTACACCTCTTCAAAGAGTCATCAGATGTTGGCTCACCTATCTTAGGCTGACGACACAACATAGTAGGGGGAATACAAAAACTAGAGACAATCCTAGTAATTTTAGCATCAATATTGATGGTACTGGAAATAGTGCTCATCTTGGAACCATCATTATCAATGGAAAATTTGTTGCGATGCTTGCATCGCTATGGATGCTAGGTAACATTGTTTTTACCACCTCTGGGCATGCCCTTAGACCCTCATGTGACTGCATCAATTTGCACACTAAGAATCAATGTCGTATCCCTTTTGTCGTCATCACCATCACCTCCGATACCCGCCACCAGTGCTCTTGATGCCTCGCCTCCCGCTGAGGTCTACGCACATCCAGCCGACACCTGCGCCCCACTTGACGCCTGCGTCTCGCCGTCTAGCACTCTCCCTTTACCACCCAGAACTCGCACCTCGCCTCCCTCGTTCGTGCCTCGCCTCGTGCATTAGCGCCCGTGCCTCGCCAATCGCTCCTCTCTTGCCACCAATCGACATCTTACCTTTCTCCTTTCATCCTCAAATGGGTATATGGAGGTCCTACTTAAAGTCCTAGGTATCTGCTACTAACAGAAGATGAGGACAAGCTTCTGAAGTGAAGATCAATACAAGGCTATGTTTTCCCAACAGAATACCCACCAATCCAGTTGAGCGAAAGGAACTAAAATACCAATGAAATAACCGTGACAATTTATGGAGTGAAAGAGTTTACGGCAAGAGGAGACATAGAGAACAAGGACCAATGTTATCAGAATCAAACCTGACCTGCCGGTCAGACCGGTTGAACCATGAACCGGGATCTAAAATAGTCCAGTTCTTTAGTTAGATCGCCTAAAGAATCAAACCCTTGGAAAACTAAAAAATCGGCCGATTTTGACCAAAACCGGTGAACCAAAATTTCCTAAAATCAGTATGTTCAAAACTTGAAACCAACTGGCAGCCTTTATCTTCTCCGTCTTCCTTCAAGACGAACAACGGTGATCACCACACTTCATCTTCTCTAACAGTGGCGAACACCATAGATCTAGATCTCCTAAGTTGTGTAAGCTTTCTTCTTCTCCACTCCCTCTCTCTCTCAACGCAGACACAACCCATAAAAATGAAGGAAAAATGTTGCCTTGCTGGGTCCTTTATCTCTCTCTCTGTCTCTCTCACATGCTTGCTGGATCTTCCTTCTTTCTCTTTCTTTATCTCTCTTTCTACATGCACAAGCAATTTTGTTGAACAATCATATAGTGAATATGAATAATTGAATATAAGTTAAATAATTAATAGCTAATACACACACATTCAACAATCATTACATTTTATAATTTTTTATAAGTTAAATATTTAACAGTTAAATTATTTTATTTTATAGATTTTTTATTTTTTTTATCATACGACTTGTCCGATCAGTTAACCCAATAGTTGAACCAGTAAACCATTGACCCAGTCCCTTTGGCGGTTCGATATTTGGTCTTTTTCTGATTACATTTACGAGAACGATTGAAAGTCACCACAATTAATACCCAGAAGGAAGGGTAAAAAAGTAGAAAGCAAAATTTATTATTATTGATGCCTTCTCCCCCAAATCCCATTGAACTCCAGACATGGGAGACAGATGCTGGGCCTAATCTAGACCAGGCTCATCATAGATGCAGACCAACAAAAGCTTAGTTTCAATTTCAGTTGGGTCAACCTCACTATCTTCAAAGACATAGTCTATTACTAGCGCACGTAGGGATCTCTGTGAATCTGTGGAACACAGCCATTGGGGTGCACATCACGAGCTTCACGAAACCACCTTGCCTATTATGAGAATGACGCTGGCTTCACAAAACCACCTTCCTCCCCGTTACGAGAATGACGCCTTAATTAGATCTCTCTCGGAGACGTTATAAAACTGTACATGCCTATAAATTGTAAGTCCCGCTTACACATGAGAGACATCACTCATCTCTTAGCAGACACACCTTGAGTAATAAAACTCTCCGATCACTACAGCTATTCTTTGGAGAGTAGGTCACTCAGACCGAACCATCTAATCTGTTTGTTTGATTGTGTTGAGCATACCCCATTTCATTCTATATTACATATTTGATTAATTTTACATAAACACTTTTGTGCATCATCAAATTTAATGATTATAAATAATTAAGTCAACAAATTAGATTGATAAATTAAGTTCAAGTAACATTAATAAAAGTGCCAACACATGAATCCCAAACGCTATCAACTCCAAGGCAGCAGTGCACAACTAGTACGCACAAATATATGCAGCCCAAACCTATATGCAGCTTTAGACATATTTCTCTACCTTCATGTGATGCATTTATTTTTTTTGATCCACCTTTGGTTGGTTTTATCATGCAAATGAAACAAAACTAACTTTGATCGCTCTATATGTTGGGGCCAAAAAAAAGAAAACAAATGATAAGTCAAAGTCTTGGACGAGCTGGATATGTATGCATATATAACAAACAGTGAGCAGCTGGCTGTGGCCTCGGTTGTGGTTCCCAATTCAAAAAATCTCACCACGTGCAGTCCCCTCAATAAAAACCAAAAAGAACAAGGGTGAAGAAACCAAATATCTAATAATTCAGCAAGCCCATTAAATTGAAGGTCGTTGGCAAGTCTGAGCGTGGCATGCAACTGCATTAATGTGTGCACAACAGTCCAGATGGAAAAGTATGTGTTCAAACCCTTGAGCGGGACCAAGTCTGTGCTGCTGACATTGCATCACCAAACGTACATGATTAACTGAGATGCCATAAACAGACACACGTATTGAACTATAACTCACCCGAAAATGAAACAATCAATCAATTCATTCAAAGCATTGAATTCGGCTCAACTACCAACTAACAACCCTCACGATAGCCTCCTCTGGCTTACTGGCTATCACTCTCTCTTTCTCTCTCTCTCTGGTTCACACACAACTATTTTAATTTTCCTATATAATCACCATAACCCAGAAGCATTTGCACTCGCAGAATTCAGTGTAACATAGTTATACATAACCGTACAAATCAGCCGGTACTGTCTCTTTACTGTAGAGTAGTAGTGCACTGTTCAAAACGCATCAACAATGGCAATGCTTATGAAGGTGGCTTGTGTGGTGCTTGTGTTCATGGTGGTGGTTGCACCCCATGAGGTGGGTGCCCTAACTTGCGGTCAGATTCAGGCTGGGTTGGCCCCATGCCTGGGCTACCTGAGGGGAGGTAATGTGGTGCCCCCGAAATGCTGCGACGGGATCAGGGCACTCAACAGCGAGGCTAAGACTACAGCAGATCGCCAAGCCGCTTGCAGGTGCTTGCAGTCAGCTGCTAAATCCATCAGCGGTATCAACCTTGGTAAAGCTGCTGGCCTCCCTGGCCGCTGTGGTGTCAATATTCCTTACAAGATCAGCCCAAGCACCGACTGTTCTAAGTACTCTCTCTCTCTCTATCTCTCTAAATAAATATATATATATATATAATAAAATAAGAGTGTATTTGAATTTTGTTTCAGTCATATTTTTCCTCTCAAAATCATCATCAATCATTTACTTCACCCATCATCCCCTTGTCATATTCAAACGTTAAATCGCATCAATTATTTCTATCATATTTAATCATTTATATATTTCTTTTCTAAAAATATCACGTCACTCATTTCTATCATATATTTAAATATTTAATATTTGATTAATTTATAATTAATATATTTTAAAAATATTAATATAATGACATCGATTTTTTAGATTCTCAAATTTTATATTTTATCGTGGGTTATAACTATGCATATATCATATGTATGTAGAGAGAGACTATGAAATCTGTTGGTATGAGATAAGTGAATGTGGACGGATTTACAGGCAGGTTCATTAGTCTGTCGCTGAGTAAATAAATTGGCTCTAACTGTATAACAGAAGTAACGGGTCAAAAACACGATTTTATTAAGAGGATATGAAATTAAAGTATTTAAATTTTTTTTTAAATCACTAATTTTATAAATAAGTAGAGTTGAATCAACACGATACGATTAATAAATGAATCGAATATATGTAAAATCAATTAAAAAAATGTATAATACGATTCATAATTTATTAAACATTATATACGATTCATACACAATATAAACTCGATATGATACAATTTATTAAACACAAATTTATATAATAAAACAGGAGTGTGTTTGAATTTTATTCTAATCATATTTTTTCTCTCAAAACCATGATCAATCACTTACCTTACTCATCATCCCTTTGTCAGATTCAACCGTCAAATCAGATCACTTATTTCTATTACATGTTTAATCATTTATATATTTCATCTTTAAAAATATTACATCACTCAATGCTATCGTATATTTAATCATTTAATATTTGATTAATTTGTAGTTAATATATTTTAAAAAAATTTAATATAATGGAATCGATTTTTTGAACTCTCGAATTTTATATTTTATTGTACATTCAGACACGAGTTATGACTAGTATATATATATATCGGGTTATTATTTGAATTCATAATAAATGACTTAGCATTTAAAAAATATTTAAAAATATATATCGTTAATATTATTGAGACCTAACAATTTCACTCAATATGGCAATCATTTGTTATATTGGTGGAGATCATGAACTAAGAATTATTTTAATCATTAAGGCTGGATCTTATATTGGGATAAAATCAATTGACATATAACTGGATCAGTTGGCATATTATTAAATCTGAATATTAATCCAGATGATTATGTGAAAATTATTTATTTAACATGCATGTATCGAAGAGATCTAATAATCCCTCTACTTTCATGTTATGAACTATGGTATTTACCATAGACTTTTTGACTTGTTTGGTTTTTGTTGCTGTGTGTTGCAGGGTGAAGTGAGGTTAATGGACAAGTAATTTTCCTGCGCAATATATGTTACTGTGAAATAAGATGGGTCTTTATCCCATGCAGACTCCGACTTGAGCAAGTCTGTCTTTGTATTTTATGTCCTCCAGTCGTCTGTCATAAATTTGGTAGTTGTAATGCAATAATTATATTTACTAGCTACCTACTTTACCGGTAATCATTACTCCTTACTTTACACGCCTCTCTCTCCATCTCCTCGATCGTTTTTCCCAGAGCTTACACATTAGCAAAGAGTAGTCGGGTAAAAAGCCTATAACCCAAAAAATAAAAATTGTAAAATATTACAAAACTCAAATAAAATTAAAAAATTTAAATTTAAATACATAATATTATTTAGGTGAATGTTAGATGCGTGAGTCTCACTAAAAAAATTAATTATTTTTTTTTGGTCAAAATTGAAAAAGTTAATGAATTCAATGATATGTATTTAACTTTCAAAATTTTAAATTTTATTTAAATTATTTAGCATTATTCACCATTAATAAATCAACATCAACTCACACGTGTCTTTACACATGTTACTTGCGCAAAAATAATAGTAGCAAAAACAAGAAGGAAAACTCACTCGAGAATTATGGGATCAACTACCAAAATTAATATGTGGGACTTGGGTATGACAAAAGAAATATTAGTACTGGAAAAAAAAGAGAACGCAACCATTAACTTCCTATAAATTATCTAAATGAAACATTTGCTGTAGACCACTGTAGAAAGTAGGTGTCTGTTGGGTCATTGTGTACATCTAATAAACATTTAATGGCATAATTAATCATTTTGGTCGTTGAATTACTCATTGCCTCACAGTATTAATGAATTTTATAGGGAGAATTACACTCAGACCCTCTAAAGTTTGTCATTTAATCATTCAGATCTCCTGACATTTAAAATATTACACACAGACTCTTGAAGTTTATACGCACGTAACACTTAGACCCATGTTATAAACATATCCGTTAATAAATTATACTTAGACTCTCCTAAAGTTTGTGAGTATAATACTTAGACCATTAAGTTTAAAATATTATACTTACACAAAAAATATTTCAATCAAATATAATATATCAAATATTTTTAATTTTACAACCAAAATTTATGTTCTATTGTATCATTTATTTAAATAAAATTAAAAAAAAATTTAATTTAAAAAAAATCGTAATTAGTATACAATTATACTATCTATTTGAATAAAATAAAAAAAAAAAATAATGGGTTTAAATCATTCATAATAGAACATGAATTTTACATCCAAAATTCATGTTCTATTATGTCATTTATTAAAATCAAATCAAATATAAAAAAAAAATTTTAAAAAAAACATAGTTAGTATGTATTTATACTGCCTATTAGAATAAAACTAAAAAATTAAATAAGGAATCAAACTGTAATAAACACAATATCTTTTAGATTTAATTGGGTTAGTTTGGTATTTTAATTTGGTCGTTTAAACAACTAAATTAAATTCTAATAGACAATATAATTATATACTAATTACAATTTTTTAAGAAAAAAATTAAATTTTAATTTTAATTTTAATTTTATTTCAGTAAACGATACAATAGAACATGAATTTTGATTATAAAATTTAAAATATTTTTTATTTTATATTTGATTAGAGAATTTTTGGCATAAGTGCAATATTTTAAATTTAAAGGGTCTAAGTATTATATATCCACAAACTTCTGGAAGTCTAAATATAATTTATTAACTGATATATTTATAAAAAGGGTTTAAGTGTTATGTGCGTACAAACTTCAAGGGTTTGTATGTAATATTTCAAATGTCAGGAATCTGAGTGATTAAGTGACAAACTTCAGGTAGTCTAGGTGCAATTCTTTCAATTTTATATTGTCAAAAAATAATGTTACATTGATCAAATAAAATGACTAAATAAATAACTCAAATAACATGGAACACGACTGATAGATTAATACTGAGTCACTTGGTCGACCAGCTTGAGTTGGTTTTACCTCAGAACTCCTTCCACCCACTTGACCTTTCACGCCTAGTACAAAAACTCACCTCTGTTTTGCACGTTGCGTCTTCGGATAATTTTTTATACCTCTAAATATTTAAAACCAAAGCGAGAAAACAGAGAGAAAAATGAAAAAGTGAGCCGGGGTTTTGCGGATCCAATGTTAGACTACACCGAATTACAATTATTTTATATTTTTCTCTTTAGAGGTAGGATTTTTTTTTTTTTGATTCATTATCTATAATGCATTTCATATTTGCTTTGGGATCTCATGCCAAGTATATGTTCTATACTGTGAAGCTTATTTATGTTCATTGCATATTGATTGAGAAATAATTTTTTAATCAAAGATTGAGAAATAATTGGAATTTGACTATCAGAGCATGTTTTCTTATATATGATATTATTTAACCAATTTATTGATTTATATTGATTTTGATATCGAATTTACTATAAAAATGATTATTTTGTTTATCTGAAATGATTATATTGAATTGGTTATACATATTGGCTTAAGGTATTATTACTGTTGGAATGTTATTGTGAAATATTAATAGATTAATATTGGTAGCCCGTTATACAATATAAAATTAATAGATTAATACTGAGTTTGTTTGGCCGACTTGACCTTTGGTCGACCAGCTTGAGTTGGTTTTACCTCGGAACTCCTTCCACCCACTTGACCTTTCATGCCTAGTACAAATACTTACCTTTGTTTTGTAAGTTGTGTCTATCATCAATAATATGATAATGAATTCATTAATGTTACGATGTAACTTATCATTAAATACATTTCAATATCATTTCATTGGTGATAATTCATTATGTCTCCAAATTATATCTTTTAATTATGTTTCAATAGCATTAATAAATTATAAAATCAATTATATATTGAAGTAATTTTCAGCCACATCTAAGTTATAGCCCATGTGGGTTCAAACCCTTAAGCGGGACCAAGTCTGTGCTGCTGACATTGCATCACCAAACGTACGTGATTAATTGAGATGCCATACACCAACACACGTATTTGAACTTTAACTCACCAGAAAATGAAACAATCAATCAATTCATTCAAAGCATTGAATTCGGCTCAACTACCAACTAACAACCCTCACGATAGCCTCCTCTGGCTTACTGCCTATCATTCTCTCTTTCTCTCTCTCTGGTTCACACACAACTATTTTAATTTTCCTATATAATCACCATAACCCAGAAGCATTTGCACTCGCAGAATTCAGTGTAACATAGTTATACATAACCGTACAAATCAGCCGGTACTGTCTCTTTACTGTAGAGTAGTAGTGCACTGTTCAAAACGCATCAACAATGGCAATGCTTATGAAGGTGGCTTGTGTGGTGCTTGTGTTCATGGTGGTGGTTGCACCCAATGAGGTGGGTGCCCTAACTTGCGGTCAGATTCAGGCTGGGTTGGCCCCATGCCTGGGCTACCTGAGGGGAGGTAATGTGGTGCCCCCGAAATGCTGCGACGGGATCAGGGCACTCAACAGCGAGGCTAAGACTACAGCAGATCGCCAAGCCGCTTGCAGGTGCTTGCAGTCAGCTGCTAAATCCATCAGCGGTATCAACCTTGGTAAAGCTGCTGGCCTCCCTGGCCGCTGTGGTGTGAATATTCCTTACAAGATCAGCCCAAGCACAGACTGTTCTAAGTACTCTCTCTCTCTTTCTCTCTCTAAATATATATATATAATAAAATAAGAGTGTGTTTGAATTTTATCTCAGTCATATTTTTTTTCTCAAAATTATCATCAATCACTTACTTCACCTATCATCCATTTGTCAGACTCAAACATCAAATCGCATCAATTATTTCTATCATATTTAATCATTTATATATTTCTTTTCTAAAAATATCACGTCACTCATTTCTATCATATATTTAATTATTTAACATTTGATTAATTTATAATTAATATATTTTAAAAAATATTAATATAATGGGATCAATTTTTTAGACCCTCAAATTTCATATTTTATCGTGTCCTCAAGCACAAATTATGACTATACATATATATCATATGTATGTAGAGAGAGAGACTATGAAATCTATTGGTATGGGAAGCGTATAACAGAGGGTCAAAAACACGATTTTATTAAGAGGATATGAAATTAAAGTATTTAATTTTTTTTTAAATCACTAATTTTATAAATAAGTAGAGTTGAATCAACACGATACGATTAATAAATGAATCGAATATATGTAAAATCAATTAAAAAAATGTATAATACGATTCATAATTTATTAAACATTATATACGATTAATACACAATATAAACTCGATATGATACAATTTATTAAACACAAATTTATATAATAAAACAGGAGTGTGTTTGAATTTTATTCTAGTCATATTTTTCCTCTCAAAATCATGATCAATCACTTACCTTACCCATCATCCCTTTGTCAGATTCAACCGTCAAATCAGATCACTTATTTCTATTACATGTTTAATCATTTATATATTTCATCTTTAAAAATATTACATCACTCATTTCTATCGTATATTTAATCATTTAATATTTGATTAATTTGTAGTTAATATATTTTAAAAAAATTTAATATAATGGAATCGATTTTTTGGACGCTCGAATTTTATATTTTATTGTACATTCAGACACGAGTTATGACTAGTATATATATATATATATATATATATATATATATATATATATATATATATATATATATATATATATATATATATATCGGGTTATTATTTGAATTCATAATAAATGACTTAGCATTTAAAAAATATTTAAAAATATATATCGTTAATATTATTGAGACCTAACAATTTCACTCAATATGGCAATCATTTGTTATATTGGTGGAGATCATGAACTAAGAATTATTTTAATCATTAAGGCTGGATCTTATATTGGGATAAAATCAATTGACATATAACTGGATCAGTTGGCATATTATTAAATCTGAATATTAATCCAGATGATTATGTGAAAATTATTTATTTAACATGCATGTATCGAAGAGATCTAATAATCCCTCTACTTTCATGTTATGAACTATGGTATTTACCATAGACTTTTTGACTTGTTTGGTTTTTGTTGCTGTGTGTTGCAGGGTGAAGTGAGGTTAATGGACAAGTAATTTTCCTGCGCAATATATGTTACTGTGAAATAAGATGGGTCTTTATCCCATGCAGACTCCGACTTGAGCAAGTCTGTCTTTGTATTTTATGTCCTCCAGTCGTCTGTCATAAATTTGGTAGTTGTAATGCAATAATTATATTTACTAGCTACCTACTTTACCGGTAATCATTACTCCTTACTTTACACGCCTCTCTCTCCATCTCCTCGATCGTTTTTCCCAGAGCTTACACATTAGCAAAGAGTAGTCGGGTAAAAAGCCTATAACCCAAAAAATAAAAATTGTAAAATATTACAAAACTCAAATAAAATTAAAAAATTTAAATTTAAATACATAATATTATTTAGGTGAATGTTAGATGCGTGAGTCTCACTAAAAAAATTAATTATTTTTTTTTGGTCAAAATTGAAAAAGTTAATGAATTCAATGATATGTATTTAACTTTCAAAATTTTAAATTTTATTTAAATTATTTAGCATTATTCACCATTAATAAATCAACATCAACTCACACGTGTCTTTACACATGTTACTTGCGCAAAAATAATAGTAGCAAAAACAAGAAGGAAAACTCACTCGACAATTATGGGATCAACTACCAAAATTAATATGTGGGACTTGGGTATGACAAAAGAAATATTAGTACTGGAAAAAAAAGAGAACGCAACCATTAACTTCCTATAAATTATCTAAATGAAACATTTGCTGTAGACCACTGTAGAAAGTAGGTGTCTGTTGGGTCATTGTGTGCATCATAAACATTTAATGGCAAACGTTATTTGTAAGTTTGGCATAATTAATCATTTTGGTCGTTGAATTACTCATTGCCTCACAGTATTAATGAATTATATAGGGAAAATTACACTCAGACCCTCTGAAGTTTGCCACTTAATCATTCAGATCTCTTGACATTTAAAATATTACACACAGACTCTTGAAGTTTATACGCACGTAACACTTAGACCCATGTTATAAACATATCCGTTAATAAATTATACTTAGACTCTCCTAAAGTTTGTGAGTATAATATTTAGACCATTTAAGTTTAAAATATTATACTTACACAAAAAATATTTCAATCAAATATAATATATCAAATATTTTCAATTTTACAACCAAAATTTATGTTCTATTGTATCACTTATTTAAATAAAATTTTAATTTTTTTTTTAAAAAAATCGTAATTAGTATACAATTATACTATCTATTTGAATAAAACAAAAAAAAAATCAAATAATGGGTCTAAATCATTCATAATAGAACATGAATTTTATATCTAAAATTCATGTTTTATCATGTCATTTATTAAAATAAAATCAAAAATAAAAATTTATTTTTTTTAAAAAAAACCATAGTTAGTATGTTTTTATACTGCCTATTAGAACAAAACTTAAAAATTGAATAAGGAATCAAACTGTAATAGATACAATATCTTTTAGATTTAATTGGGGTAGTTTGGTATTTTATTTGGTCGTTTAAACTACTAAATTAAATTCTAATATACACTAATAATATTTTTTTTTAAAAAATTAAATTTTAATTTTAATTTTATTTCAATAAACGATGCAATAGAATATGAATTTTGATTGTAAAATTTAAAATATTTTTTATTTTATTTTGATTAGAGTATTTTTGGCCTAAGTACAATATTTTAAACTTAAAGGGTCTAAGTATTATATCTACAAAACTTCTGAAAGTCTAAATATAATTTATTAATTGATATATTTATAAAAGGGGTTTAAGTGTTATGCGCGTACAAATTTCAGGGGTTTGTTTATAATATTTCAAATATTAGGGGTCTGAGTATTAAGTGACAAACCTCAGAGGATCTAAGTGCAATT